GCGCCCACCTCTTCGATTCCGCAGTTGGAATTGCCTTGGAGGTACGCCCCTTAATTAAGCCACTGGATTCGTCTAATCGGTGGGTAGGATAGGGGTATTGGCAAAGGTTAGCGATGCGCCGTTCACATAGCTCGAAAGTGAATGACAAATGATCTTGTCAATGCTCCCGATTGGTGGCTATGGGTGGTATCCTATGGCTCGTTATGCAGCGCCCGTGTACAACATGGAGCGACTTCTCGTACAGCGCGTTCATTCTCGTATTTTTTCCTCTACGCGTTGTGCCTCTCCGTCGTAAACAGCGGAACTTACGATACGTTTATCCTGTAATTTCAGTGTTTTGAACGATTTCTTTGGTTTTCTTTTTCACTTGCAGTCTCCTCCGCACCTCCGCCTTCATTAATGAACGCATTTCCTCGAAAATTTATCCTATGCGAGTTTTTAATATAAGTTTCGTAGGCCTGAAATCTTCTTATTTATTAGCGTTTGTCCCACCCACTGGCGGAGTCCGCTTCGTTATAGAACTGAAATCAAAAAAAGTGAGCATGCGTTCATGGCGTAGTGGAAAGGATGAAGCTTGAAGGTTTCACAAAGGGGGCCAGAGAGCGGAATCTCAAGAAAGAAACCACGGTAGCAATCGACTTTTTTGCAAATAAATCAGAGATCAGGAGGTGCGATAGATACGCCATGCAATCTGCGATGACCTTTAGGCAAAAAGATCTCTCCAGATCATATGAGAAGTCGATAAGCACGGGATAACAGATAGAATACATTCTGATTCAATAAGCTATGAAAAAGTGAAAGTGAAAAAAGTGTCGTACGTGAAGACAATCCTTTACTTTTTTATTCAGCTGTTTAGTATAATATGAAGGACGCGGAACAAATGAACAACTTACCGTTCGCCATCCTTTTCGAAAGTCCTGCTATAAGAGCAATCCGCAAGTTGAGAACACTTTCAGTGCGGCACTACCGAGCAGGCCCAAATCTCTTTCCTTGAATTGAGCAACGCTCATATTAACCTGAACCATTGCACATATTAGCATGAATTGTGACTTTGTCACAAATCCTAGAAACGTTTCATTCACTGGTCAAAACATGAACAGTAAGGCTATTAAAGACGATCTGATACGAAGCTTTTCATGGTAAATATTAGATTGTAGGGCAAATTCTTGCCCTTTCTGACACTATTCAGGTGTGCATAACTAAACTAAACGTAAAAAGTGTTCAGCTCTAATACAAGTTCTCATTCGTAGTGAAACCATTACAATCTACCTTTCTTGCCAACACCGAATGAGTTTAACCATGCGTTCGCTGAAAGTTTTGGAATTTTGGAGGTCAAAAACTCGACCAAGGTCGCTTCATCATCAAGATGAGTTTCGTAGCATTTTTCTTTGAAGTCTACGCAGACGGTTCAACAACCGCATATTTCAGTAGCCCAGCTACTCCGACATTTGCGAGATTTCCTCCGTGGTAATCGTCTGAAGTAAATCGTGGTGAAGAGTCGACCCCATTATGATGGCCCTTGTTATGCACACGTGATCAAGTATTTTGCATCTTGCTGAGAATACTCTCTACAATAATAACTCCGCCTGCGCTCGGAGAGCAGCGTCTGCCATAGTCACTCGATCGCGGAATCCGCGTGTTCGTGCAAAGAGAGAAATTTTCAAGCTGTCTCCCACACTATCAGAAGGAGCTATCTACTAATGTTTCCATGCATTAGCTAAGACAAGCACTATCGACATAACTTGAGTGGAGATCAGGGTCAACTAGGCGGTGCGCAGATTTCAAAATTTCTACGACCTAATCCGTTTCAGAGGTATCTGTACGACCCTATGGGCTAGCTATTGTGGTTTTTACATATTTTAGGCCCATCATCGGTGTATGGGCCGTCACCGACATGGAGAGGTGGTGGACAGTGGTAAGTCCGCGCGCTTTGTCTCGCTCAGAGGAGGGAATCGAGGCAACATGAAATTTTATTCATTAAATAGAAGAATTTCCAAATTTTTGCGTAAACCTACATGGTAGTAATCGTAAAGATTTCTACTTTCAGAAACCCACCAGATTTTTTCGATCTCTCAAATTCCTTTTTTATAATCTGAAAACTAAACCTTGTAGCAATTACGTTACAATACAAACCCCTCCATTCAGAAGGTTATATTTTTTTCACAAAAATTCAAAAAACTCGGA